GTGTGTGTGTGTGTGTGTGTGTGTGTGTGTGTGTGTGTGTGTGTGTGACGTATGCCTGAGTGAGTGAGCGAGCAGAAAAGATTGAAATGTTTAATAGAGAGATGAATGAAAACAAATAAAGGTAAATTTTTGGGATTTCTATCAAATTGTATGTACAACGTGTGAAGCTAACCAATTACGCTAAGGAGTTGTTCAATATCCCCGTATGATAGCTTTCATAACCATACGGCAACTTTTGTCTTACATTCATAAGATGACAATGGGTAGATGTTGATTTGGCCGTTGCATAAGTCGTACAAATACGGACTCAAGAAACTAAAGAATTTATGGGCAAAAGAGGTATTTGGAGACGACCTTCTGCAAACCATATAGTGTCTACGTTTGGTTTGTTTAAGGACTGGATCATAAGGGAGAAGAAAGTGCTGCTTTAGGATAACCATCTGTATGAACAATTGGCGCACCGTAAGAACCCTCCAATAGGCATAATTCTCTTGTGGGTTAAAGGGAATTGCGAAAAGATACCACATTTAGAACGGCCCTTTGGGCCCTTTCTAGTGTCAGAAGTAGTGTTTTAGGAGCGCCGCCCCAGGACAAAAGTGAATAGGTCAAGATGGACTGACACTGGGCGTAATAAGCAGTCTTGAGCAATTTGAAGGCTGCGTTATGCCGGAGATTTTTAAAAATGTACATATATTAATTTTCGAGTTCTTACTTTCAGGAGATTTATGTGTTTGACAAATTAAAGTCTATAGTGACACCCAGATATTGTATAGAGGCAGTGCGGTTAAGGTCAGGGCATGTACACTGTCCTTTCTGGTCACAAGTGTGGTCAATAAACATGTGTATTGGTCAATATACATCGTTTTATCAGAGTTGATTATAAGTACGTTAGAGTTAAGCCACTGCATCACACGATTGAGACCTCAGTCGCTACCAGCAAACAAAAGGCATGTGTCGTCGGCGAAACAGATATATTTACCCTGCTACAAGTCTAGGCGACATAACTCACTAATGTAGATCAGGAATAGGATAGGTCCGATAATACTATCTTGAGGCACCATTTCTTCATAAGAGACTCTATGAATGTGAAATGATAGGTCATTGAAAAATGCGTTAGAATTTGTGCACGTATCCTGAAAGAAACGGCAACATGACTCGCCTCGTCTCTTATAATCGTCTCTAATACACCATTTTGAATAGGTAAATCAATTATATGAGATTATTGATTTGTCTATTCAAAATGGTGTATTTCCGTCACTCATCAAATTTTCTATTATCAAGCCGCTATATAAAAAAGGCGACAAAAAGTGATAAGTAATTACAGATCAGTGGCTCCAATTCCAATATTTGTCAAGAATTTTGTGCGTATTGCGCACAAAAGTTTTTTCTCACCTATTTTATTTGATAGACAATGGTGGAAATTCGTAAGAAAAGGTCGACAAATGTATTTTCCTATTGTTAAAAACCAAGTTTTTACAGACGTCAAAAGCATTTTGATTGTGTACTTTATGACTTACTACCGAACTAAATAGAAATATGGAGTACGTGGAAAAGCACTGGATTAGTCAACATCATGTATAATTGACAGGCAACATGTACCAAAGTTGTACATTTTTGTAATAAGACATACACCATACTCAATAAAAGATCCCTATTCAAAATAATAGTAGCCGTGTCCAACGGGGTAGTATTCTGGGATCGCTTTTATTTTTGTTTTTCAGTAATGATCCTTCAAAGAACACCAAGAAACAAAATGTGGTAACTGACAATGTGACTTGTTTATTAAATAATTTACCTTAATTGACACACTATGGAGTTCGTATGTAATCAAGCCGAACCCGACCCGCCTATGGCAGCATCGTAAAGAATAAAATTGTAAAAAAATCGTAATTTAATAAATAAATAAATAATGTATATTTAACTAAATATACTATATATATAAATATACATATATTTAAATCAGTTCTCTCTTCTGGTATATCTATCTATTCGTTTATTTATTAAACTTTATTGCCCACAACACGTAATGGTACAGAAGCGGACTTAGTGCTAAAAGGAATTCTATATGTATATATGTTCTATGTATTGACTTATTTATGTGTATGGTCTATATATATGTACATGGACACTTAACTAACCTAACCTAAGCCAATCCGTATAAGTTGATTTATTTATCTATTGCTACAAAAGTACTGAAGTTGACAGTAATAAAATAAGTATAATTTCACTGCGACCGGCGAACATTAGGCATACAAACACACTGAGGATATTGTCTAAACATGTACAGAGTATCCAATTACGTATAGAGCATATCGCTTGACACCTTGGACTGTGAACTGTTGTTATTGCGAGCGCCGTACAATTGAATCCAAACCTTAATGGCCCCGTTTGAGGCGCTGCTGGCCCTGTACTCGAATGCACTAAACAATAATCACAAAGTAGATGCACCTGTAGGTCTAACTGGATTTTTTATTTTTTTATGATGCCGAGTGAAGGGGCGAACGAGGCAACGAACTCTTTCACTAGGAACTCTATGGTTAACTTGAGGACAATATACGCCAATAATTTAATCGTGGTGGTAGCACACACATTGCAATAATCCAGCATTGTTCCTCTCCTCGACACACAGCGCACGTAGTCACTTCAGTAGCATCAGCAGCTCTCGTTTGGGGTCCGTTAAGTATGCTTGGCTGTCCAAAAGAAACGATGCCAGCATCCTGGGCACGAGACTTCATGAAATAGTCTACCTTTGATACTTTGAGTTAAAGCCAAATGAGTAGGTATCCATTCGAGCCACAGTCGACTGGAGTTGGGCGGGACTTGCTAAATTATTCTATTATTGGATGTAGCCCTATAAAATGTAATACAGAAAATCTAACACAGAAAAGGTCCAGCTTGTTTTATTGAATTAGATACCTCTAAATTTTTAAATACACATCTTAGTAGTTTTTAAATTGGCGGACGTGAAATACTATAAACACATGCACCTTAAAGTAATTGATTTGATTACTCGGAGAGGTGTCAGTAGTAGGTTCATTCAGTAGGTAGAGTATTTTTTTACAATTGTATGTTTAGTCCTTGTGCTTCTATTTTATGTTGCGTATTGAATCATCACCAGAGTCACACGTGTCACGGCGCGGCGGCGGCGGCGGCGGGTTGCATTTGTTGTAACGAAACACGCACATAGCAGAATGGTCCATATCATATTTTGTTCGTTGACGATTAAATTTTCTATTATAACTTTTGTAAAATTTGCAAGGAAACAATTATAACAGATCTAAATATCTATTATATTACCTGTAGCACGTAAGACTCTTGAAAATTGCTGAAAAGACTAAGATAGCTTGATTGTTAAGGCGCAGGCGATGTCTTGCTCTTATCAGAAGTATTATTGTACATTGAAATGACTTCGCTGACGTGCAACACAAAAATACAGATGAATCGAACAATAACAAATACCTCAGTAAAACGGTAATAATTAAAATCCAATTTTGCCACAACACACAGGGCACAAAGTATGAACCTGCATCCCGGACGGTTGGTCGAATAGCCATTTCCGTCTGATTTTGTCAATAAACCGGAGGAAACAAATAATTGCTTATTTCAAACATTCTTGTTTTATAGTGTCCATATTTTAGATTTACTCAAAAATGTTGGGAAATCAATAAGTAATACGTACAACTACATATTATCCGTGCGTCACTCCATTGAAGAGGTTATCGTCGATAAGAGATTGAGGCACATGCCTCGACACAAAATTGCAACTAAATATACCTACACTTCGATATCGCAAACAAAGCGTTTCAAAGGCATGGCTTGTTGTATAGGTGTTGCGTTGAAACGACCCAGGCAGGTCTACCAGACTCATCTCATGCCCATAGTTTCACTCTCCTAAATCACACATTATTGACACAATACACGTCCCACCGCTGAGCACGAATCTACTCGAAGCAGAAGACTTAATGGAGGTATGTTACTCCTGTCTGTTTTCTAAGTGTTGTGAACCTTCTTCGCCGTGCAAGTTTCAACGACTGCGCAATTATGAAGCAACTGTCGCAACGGTCTACCAACGGTGCGAGCCTAACAAAGGTGCAATAAAGTTGTAAGCTGCAAAGACTAAGTATAAGATACAAATAATCTCTTTCCATTTTAGTGAGTGGCCTACGAATTACACACAACATACTGCGTCGTGAAAAGTCATGGACCGTCGCCAGTAACCAAACAACGGGTCGCGGTTTAATTGCATTGTTTTGTATTTATATATCTAAATAAGTGCAACAAGTAAACGAGAACAGAAACATTGAAACCGATTGCTATATTTTGGTTAACCCATTTGATGAAAATTCATCTAGAGACAGTTAAATATAAGTCATTGTGTTCGAGCAATAACTTTCCGATCTCGGCAAATTATCTCCTGCCAGCTTTTACAAATACAGCCCACACATTTCTTAAGGCTAGTTTGTACCTTAATAGAAGGAATGTTAACAGGAAAGTACGTCGCATAGAGCCAGCCACGCATAATCGCCGACGGCTGCAACTATGGCGCCGTGACTTAAACATCACACACGTCTATGGACTAAGTATTACAATTAAGAAAATCGTCTTCCTGATGGCTGCGGTGATGAGTAAACGTTTCCTATAATTGAGTAACGTATTAGTGCAATACATGAAAACATTATCTAAGCAAATTTAACGATACTCCACAATTATTAGCTGTTCTTACATATAAATATCCACGCAGCTGTGTCAAAGACGACTCTGGCTGAGTCCTAGGGCCTAGGCCGTGGATGAATTGGTCATCAGGGTTGTTGCACTCATAGCAGAGTAGCAGCGTGGACGGTGGACGTGACGGGCTTCAGGTGCGGCGGGGAGGTGAGGTGGTCAGCGGCGGGGGCGACTGAAACAATATGGCCGCTTATCACTCCATCGCCCCGCCCCGCGCCGCCGCGCCTCACTCTTTATTAGCTTTTCACGGAAAATATTGTACAAAAAAACAACTGATAAGATCACGATGAGGTCGAGCGGCGCCCATCAATAATCCGTCGATGTGTCGACGATATCAGATCCGCGAGGATTACCTCCCCGTCGCCCCTCGCCCCTCGGCCCGCGCACCCTTCACGAGTCCGCATCGACGCCGCCACAGGGCGGGCGACAGCCGACCCTCGCGCGCAGCCCGCCACGAATGCACTATCGTTGCTACCGTCGCCGCTACCCGCCTTATAAGCGGGGACTAGATACGTTAACTTCTCCCCGATAGTGTATCTCGCGGGCGGGAAGCTCCGCATAGATACCGGCTCCCGTAATCGAGTCTGAGAGGTTTGTATCTGATAATTACTAGTATCGGGGATAATATCGCGAGATATGGGCATAGATAGCTGCAGTGGCGGTGGTGCGCCGACGCAGGTTCGAAGCGAGCTCACGCGGGAACGACCGTGGCGCGGTCGAAGGCGCGGGGCGTGAGGAGGATGCCCGTTCCCTTCAAATATTTGTTTCGCGCTGTGGCACTGTTTGCTCAGGTTATCACGTCACTCGCGACGCGAACGCACCCAGCCGACACACGAACACCATGCACACACACAACCGCAACACCGCACGGCGGATTAACTTTAGTATGAACTCGTCGCCATTTAATACTCATAGCTGGCAATTGGAATGCTGCGACGCAGGGCGGCTCCGGCGCCCGCAGCTGCAATGCGGTGCATACCACACGACAACACAACAGCTGTTCAGCTAATACTGTACCTATCTGTTAGATACGATTATCACCACCCCAAGATAACCGACCTCACATTAACGCCTAGTTAAGATAAACGAGATAACATTTTGCATATCTAAGGAAAACCGCGATACCCAGGTCGTGTATCGCTGGGGTCAACAACCAGCCTTTACTGCAGTGCTTGTGCGACGAATTGCGGGAGTGCGGCTACGTTGTAGTTGTAATTCAAGAAAGTTATGCCCACCTTTTCTCGCACCGACGACAAATCGTCGACTATAATGTGATGTAGATGACCTAGCCATATCCTATAGATCGATATCATTACCTCCATCTACGTCCATAAAGCTTTTTTTGATGAACCTTTTTTTTTTGTAGAACCTGCGATCAAATAACTAATTTTCTGGCTGTTCGCGACCCGCAATGGGCCAGGTTAGAGGATACCCATGTTCAGTAGTGGAATGTATAATGGATTTACGATGATGACTACATTGTTTTGGAAGCGATAAATCACCTTCCCACCGGGTTATATTTGTAATAATAAAAATATGCCGCCCTAATTCAGTGCGAGCGCTCACGGCGCGTCCTGACTAGAGCCAAAGGGGGCGCGGGCCGCGGCGCGGGGGCGGGAGCGCTCTGATAACGCGATAAGGCAACGAGCGAGGATTGCCACACATCACGATGTCTCCCCAGCTACTATCAGATCATTCCTTGGGTTATGTTTGTCGGCCGTATTTTAGAGTAGGTACTTATATTCCCACCATTACATTTTCCCTGACTGAAAGCAGAGTACTGCGCAGAGAGATAATCCACATGTCCATCACAGAGACGTCAACATGTTGATAATAAGAAGATTGTAATCGCGTGGCAGGTCCTTGAGACGTCGGAGCTGTCGAAGCCGCGTCAAGGTGCGGGGGGACGGGAGCGGTCTCGCGGTGGCCGTCGCTCATCTCGTACTCACGGAAATTCTCGCCGTCTTATCTATTTGTCGCCGATTTATGCCATTTTATGATTTGTAGAAGCCACATTTGGATGTGGCTTCTACAAATCATCTCAACTACTCGTACATTGTACACATTTGACTTTCATTTGGTATCCAGTTGTTGCTAATTCGCTGTTTCGTCCTTTAATACTTTCTTATTATTTTTATTATACGTAGTTTAGAAAGTAAATACAGCTACGGGGTGGATGAATTACTACCCACGCCAATAAGAGCATGTGCAGACGAATTGACATTACCTAATACAAAATTGTATATTAAACCTGGTGCACCAAAATATTCAAGGCATGAAAGGCAAAGAGTTAGAAATAGAATTATTTATTAACTGTAATAATATTGATATTCTTTATATTACTGAGCACCACTTTTTATCTAAACATCAGTTCATGTTTATCTTCAACAATCACCAGGTGGCTAGTTCGTTCAGCAGAGAAAAAGCTATTATGGCCGCTCTTTAATTCTTATTAAAAATAATTTAAAATTTAAAGAACACGTACAGATATTGTGAGCCTATCTATTGAGCGGACTATAGAGATACCCTGCATAGAGCTTGAACGGCTTGTTGTATTAAGCGTGTACAGACTCCCTTTCAGATTCATTCATCTTACGAACTATTTGAAAAAAGATTAGATGAAGTTTTAGGCAAATTAAATAATTCAAATAAATATACTGCTGTTTGTGGTGACTTCAATGTTAACTTATTAGAAGATTCCAGTGCTAGCAGTAGGTTCATGTCATGTTTCCAATGTTATAATCTTGTGAATCTTTTCTTGGTGCCTACTAGAATAACTTCAACTACAGCCACTTATTTAGACAACATTAATTATAGTAACGCCGTACCTAATAAGAAATCTATTGTAAATAAATTAACTTCTGATCACTGCAATCAATTGGTCACTTTTAATATAACTGTTGACAAAATGCCAAGAAAGGATATCATATGTTTTCCGATAAATAATGGTCGACTTAAAGCTTATAGAAATAACGTAATGCTTAAACTAATCGACATTCCGTACATTAACGATCCCAATAAATTGTATATCAGTCAGAGTTTTAATTAGTTCTATAGTTGATTGTATTGCGCCTTACTTAGCATGTGTCTTTAACAAATGTGTTGATGATGGTATCTTTCCTAACCTCATGAAGCAAAGTAAAGTTATTCCACTTTTCAAATCTGGTAGTATTTCAGAATCAGAAATTGGTGGGGTCTAAAATACTTGGTAGTATTTCAGACCACCGATTCACCAATTTCAGACCCATACCAATACCAATAACTACCAACTCTCAGCTGCTTTGGGGGAACGCTGCTGCAACACATATTACACCACTGTTTAAAACCCAGAAGAAATGTGTCAGGGCCATGTTTGGTGTGGGCCAGCGAGAAAGCTGTGTACCCTATTTTAGAAAACTAAATATTTTAACCCTATCATCTATGTATATTTACGAGGCCTGTGTTTATATAAAACAAAATCCAGGCAACTTTAATCTAGTGAAAACCAGACATCCCAGGAAAACAAGGAACAAAATAGAAATACTAAAATTTAACCACTGTGCGTGATTGAAATAAGAATTGTGTAAAATATTCGCATGAAATGAAATGAAATGAAATGAAATATTTATTCGCAAGCAAACACGGTAAGAAAAGATATTATTATACAAGGTGTCAAGAACACGTGTTGCACCAGATACTGGCACGCAAATATTAAAAAAAATTGAAGTTAAATAATGTCATAAATTAAAATTATACAATTTGTCAAATAAGCAATATCCTTCCAATTCCCGGGCCGGGAGAAATGTTTGTATGGCTTACATTTATTTCTCTCGTGAGTTTGGGTGTAATTTGTGGTGGTCTATGTGTGTGTCCATGGCACCCGCGACACAGGGTTTCCTTAATGCGGGGCTATGTTGAGTGTGTGCGTTATTTATTTATTTATTATTTATTTAGTTAGAAACGAAATATTGAATCTTGTGGATACAGTTGTACCTATTTCTAGGTTTCTAACTTTAGATGCTAAATTGCAATGGGGTCTCCATATAAGTAAGTTATCAAAACGGCTCGGCTCTGCAGTGTAGGCGATTAAAAAAATACGGTAACTTTCAGACGTCGAAACCGCTAGATTGGTGATTAGCTGAAGTAACTACTTTCACAGTCTAATGACATACGGCATTTTGCTTTGGGATAATGCCGCCGATATCAATAGAATCTTTGTCCTGCAGAAACATGCGGTTAGGACAATTTACAATCTGGGCCCTAGAGTATCTTTGAGAGATAAGTTTAAGCAAATTGACATTCTTACACTAGCCTCACAGTTACATTTATGAAAATGTAATTTATGTTAAGAGGAATAGTAATTTCTTTATGAAAAATAGTGACAGGCATAACATTAATACGAGGGATAAAAATAAACTAGCTGGTCTTGATAGTCGTCTTCACAAAGTCACTTATTCATTTAAGGGGCAATATATACACTTCTATAACAAGATTCCGGTTGATATACAAAATTTGCCTTTCACGAGGTTTAAAACTATAGTGAAACAAAAACTTTACACTAAAGGTTATTATACAACTTCTGCGTACTTGAAACGATAGAAATCCGCGGTAATAACCCGTTTAGCTCATGGAAGTAACTCGATCTCTAATGTTTGAAAACAAAAAAAATATATTGTAAATGTAGAATGTGTACAAATGTTATTTACAAAGAGCAACCCCTAGAGTTTCTTGCTCATTCTTCTCAGGGGAATCTGCCTTACGAATGAGCGGTAGAGTTTAACCAATGTGACGATGTCAAGTGTAATAATGCGTACCTATGCAATAAAGATTATTTTGAATTTGAATTTGAATACACCTTTGTACACTTGTCAATCAATCCTACACTGAGGGCGCGTTCCCGGATCTTCTTAAGCAATCAATCCCTAATAAAACCGATCCATAAGAAAGGAAGTAAGTGTGATCTGTGTAATTATATGCCGATCGCATTGCTACCCGCGGCATCGAAAGTATTTCAGATGATGATCATCATCATGCAGGCAATGTGAAACCGCCTGTGTTCATTCCGTGAAAAATACGATGTTATTTGATAAATTACAAAACGATTGTCGGAAAAAACCGCTCCACTACAATAGCGGCTTACAAATTCAGTAAGTAATTTGGGTAGTAGTAAGTTAAAGTCGAAACATTTAATTTACTCAGAATGTATCATTATACATTTCGGTATTAGGTTTGTTTGGATGCCAAATATCATGGGCGAAACCAAAACGCACAGACTTCCCTGACTCGGCCATTTAGAAAGGATGAGAGAGAGAAGAGAGCCTGTCTGGGTCGACCTACTGGACGTAGCGCAGTTGGTCGTCCCAAGTATCGGGGCGACGCCGTTGAGGTGGACTTGCGCGATTTACAAGCAATCAATTGGCATGTGATTGCACAGGGCCGAAGAAAGTGGACTCATCTCGTCTCGGAGGCCGGGACATATTTTGGGTCGCCTAGCCTGCGGAGTAAGTATATGTATATTGACACAAACGTGAATGACAAACAGCTTATACAAAAAATTCCAAAAAAACAGTCTATACGCCTTAAAAGAATTTAAAAAAAGTCTGCCAATTTACGATCTGCCCTTTCGCGCTTACTACGCGTGCGCCATGCGTACGCGTACGCGTGGCTATCATACGGGATCGTAGTATGGGGTAATAGAACAACTGTAAACGACCTCTTTATGAAACAAAAGCAGTGCGTTAGAATAATACATTTTTTTTTCATTCAACATAAAACTTGATCCCTGAACCAAATGTATATTTTGGAAACTTGCAAATTTGTAAAAACAGTACCCACAATTTCACACTAAAGTGAGAGATGCGGCCCGACAACGTCATCCAACAAAATGCAGAAAAGTCTGGAATTACCGACATCAAAATTAAGGTGGTACCTACATGTATGCAATGTCAATAAAAATATACAACAAATTACCCTAGTACGTATAGGAAACAAGAAAACAAAACAAAACAATTCATTAACAACCTAACAACTTAAAAAACGCTCTTACTAATAAAAGCTACTATACACTACAATGAAGCCGTAATGGTTTGACTTACCACCTCTCAAGCAGATGGTCGGGGGTCGAATCCGAGCTCGCACCTCTCAGTTTCTCGGAATTTATGTGCGAAATTTATCATGAGCTTTTCGGTGACGGACAACATCGTGATGAACCCTGCACGTTGAAGAAGGTTCACAACCCCCGGAAAACGTGTGAAGTCCCCCAACCCGCATTGGGCCAGAGCGGAGGACTATGGCCTAAACCCTCGTCTGAAAGGAGACCCGTGCGCAGCAGTGATAAATGAATATAAATGTAAAAGTTAGTAAGAAGATGGTAATGGCTATCAACGATAAGTGTGACAAATCGGTATCGTGATAGGCCGCGGAGGCGAGGCGGGCGGCGGACGCTTGGTGCGCAAGGTGATTCACAGTGTTTACCGCGAAACCTATATTTGGCGATGAGCGCACGTCATTGCCCGCGTCGCCGGAACTCGCCCAGCACTTCAGACCCTTGCGATCGCTGCACTTGGCCATTGTATTATTGGAGGGGCCTTCACAGCAGCAGCAGCAGCATCCGCGGCGGGCACCAGGCCAGGGCCCGGGCTTCGATAAAGTGCCACTATCGGTGTAATTAGACCGATGATCGATGTCTTAAGTAAGCCGTTAATCGATAAGATAGCGCAGAACGCATTAACGCCGCCTTATCGACAAATTTTTATTAGTTATTACAACGGGTGTTGTAAACGAAATTATTTTTTAAACACCTACCATTAATTTTGTATTGGGATCAGCTCGGATTATTCGATTCCGTTCGGCAGTAAAGTCATAAAAACGAAAGCCTTGAGGACTGGGGCCGGCGCACACGCAACACTCCCTTCAATCGCAACCGTAGCAAGCAACAACTACATAGAAATTCTCTTTGTAATAACAATAATAATAATTTATTTGCTTCAGACAACATTTAAGGTCCATTTTAATGTTACTAGAGCTTATCCTAGATTAATACTTAATAACTAACAATGAAATAGGCCTCTGTGCGAGTGTATACATCATCGGGCAATAAGGTCTATCAGCTATCGCTTTCAGGATGCCGTTACAGCTCCCGCGCATTCTGTTCAACAGCGAGGCAGTTTTCTTTCGCCAGACTGCATCAAAGCCGTCCACGCGCGCATCTGCGAACATGCCTGAAGCGGTGCAAAAGCGCGGGAGCTGCAACAGTGCCCTGAATGCATTATTAAATTGGACTCGCAGAGAATTGTAAGATTTTTGGGTATATTTGAACGACAAACTTGCCGTGTACAGTGATGTACAAAATGCCTTAAACAATGTTATCTTCACTGTATCCGTACATCTAGCAAACCTTCGAACCAACATGTTCGCCCGAACTGACAATGCCCTGCGCTCCCTTTCCATATCCGCATCATCCCTAAGATCCTCGGTCACCAAATGCCCAAGATATTTAAAGTAAATACTCTTTTAAGAGTAACACCGTTGAGTAAGACGGGTGGTACAAAAGTAGGGCACTTGTTTCCCACCTTAAAGACCATGTACACAGTCTTTTTAACAAATATACCTACACATTACATTTCCCAATTCTACCATTTACCTACAGACGATTGCTAAGGTGACTATCTAAACCGAAACAACAATACGCTCACAGCTCGCAATGTGTCATAACCTGTAAGACCATTTTATATTTACCATGTTCTACATTCCCGCGACGAAGGTATATTTCTACCATCGCGCATCGATAATATGAATACGCGATATTTGATTGCAAGTGGAGATACTGGATCTCGATAACAAACACCGATTTACTGACAACAACGTCGATACCTATGGTTTCAAGGGAATCGTTAATTTTGACATGTTCGAGCACGCGAATGTATACCCATATTTGAAGTCACGTCTACAATTCGGTTTTACCCATTACGACATTGCAGCAATGTCGTACGAGCAGAGTTAATTCATCCATGTGCCTTACACACCTCCAGGCAAGGCTACTATGTGTATCGTATTTCGTCTTAATGGTTTGTATGTGAAATAATAATTAATTATACTACCCTTACCAAAAGCAACTACACGTGCGCTGGGACTGTCCAACTGTGGCATATTCTCTTTTTCAGCATTAGATCTAATGTATTGTGTTCCTTCGTACATGTGTACGAAGGTACTAGTATGTACTAGTACTAGTATGTACTAGTTTACATTTCTTACAAGAAATACGAGCTGCATGACTTGCCTGACTAAATAGTGTATAAATACATCATTCGTTCTATAATATCTGTTTACAAGAAGACGCCTTGCATGAATCGTACTGCTCAGGACTCCGTATCCACTTGTGTGTGCCTATACGAGGCAATCCGGCAATTAATAAGAAGAAAGCAGTAAAGTTGTTGCAACTTCTGCAAGTATTCTATTAAAGTACAGAGCTATTCCATATTAGTGCGCCACTCCTCGACACGACTCTCCTCTGAGAAAAATGTTGGCAGTAGATTACGCGAACCTTCTCTGTAAAGCGGGCATCATGTTTTCCTTCTCGGTTAATACACGTGACTCAGTGGTACAGGCTCATGGCAAAACTCGATCTCTGGGCATCACCTGCCACTTACTAAGCTATCACTACATCATGAAACTAAAAGTTTACTCTAATTGGTGAAACATTGTTTGAATTCAAATTTGACACTCAAAAACTAATGCAATTTTACATAAAGTGATGGTGTTTAACAACTAATGTACTTAAGCAATTCGTGACTCATAGTAACAGGCGGTAGGGGCAGACGGCGGGGGCAGTTTTCACGACCGGGAAAATGCTGAAAACGACGACCAATCAGCGCGCGCGCATTCACACACACACAGCGCACCTGCTGCTGTATGGCTGCCGCTGAGCGAGCGCCCGCCGCGCACCTGGCCGCCGCCGCCGCCGCCGCTCAGTCCAGGCCGGCCACAGGGCCACTCTCTACGTGCTATCACCCGATAGCGCTCTTCGACTGACGCCCGCGATGCTGCTCCACCGCCGCTGCCAAAGAAGTACCAAAGATTAGACTACGACATTTGACAACTCAATTAGCCGATTAAAACAACCACAAGTAAGTTATCAAGCTTTATTTCTTTTAAAAATTCTCTTCAGACATTTTTCAGTAAACAAGTGAGGAACATCCTGTCGAGCATTCACTTGAAGTTTGATTCATGGCCTATTTTCTTAAAGTTGTAAATGAATCGTTTAATAACTTATTTGTACTTTTAATAGCGCAAGAGAAATAGTTTTAGGAGTATATTCGCAGAATTTTCTTTATTATGCCAATTGAGCGTTGAGAATCTTGAGTTTCATTTGGCTTAGTATTTAGCTTCATTCGTAAAAGGTCAAAAAATGGTATAGGTCGGTCCGGACATTTTACGGTATGACGTACTTTAAATAAATTATTTTTTATTTGAGTTGCCAGCTAACGATTACAGAGATTGTGTATATGCGCATACGCGTCGAAATATTACTGATGTGTAGTGTGAATCAGCCTGAATCAGAGAGAGAAGTACCTACCTAGTTAATAGATCGCATTATTGAGAATATTGTAGGAAATGCAGAACTAGTATCATACTTATCATATTTTCTTTCAAGGTTCTGTTTTCAGCATTCGAGACAGGTATTAATCATTTTCAGCGATTCTGCCTCGTTCCATTGTCATTGTATGGGTGCCACTATTTACAACAAATAATTATGTAACATTTTTATAAAGTATCTAATAAAAACTATATAGTATATAAAGTCCTTCTTTCATCGTAATATACACCATTCAATCCAAATCTAAAGATTTAATCAAATGTTATCAGGAAAAGCCTCTTGGTCGATTAAAGGGTAAGAAATTTGGGCTTCAGTACATTTGGACAGATCTCCTTAGATCATTGGAGACCCGTGTCAAGAAATAACTGATTTTGAACACACACGAGCAACACAATGACGAGTGCTCAATTTCGGACCAGGAACAACATTCCTCCGAGCTCTATTCGACTCAGAAAAATTCATTGGATATTCGTTAGTCTTTTGACGTTGAGGAAGATGATGAAATCCAAATAAAAAATTCGCTAACGTGTGTGTAATTCATGATCATGGTCACATCTAATCAAATATGAATGTAAACAATACACTCTTTAAAATTAAAAGAAAATGTAAACCGATAAATAAATATGTACTTGTATATTAAATTATGTAAAACATTTGCCAGATTTTGAACATATAAAAAATACTAAAGTTATATTATATAAACCATGCTGGTTTATATTATATACTTATATGGTTTATTATATGGTATATTATATGGTTTATATATATAAAAGGTAAAAATGATAAAAAACTCGGAGCTTATTATAGAACTTAAACTCTCTTAAAGCTGTTTATAAAAACAGCAATTACATTTGAGAGTACAATTATTTCCGTGAGCGCGACCAATAATGAGAAGTAGTGCTACCTATGTAGAAAATGTGGCGAAATTACGAAAGGAAAAGCGTTGCCAAATGTAAGTTGTCATATTAAAGAAGGAAATCTCTGATCCACTAAATGCTGACCGTTATCACACAGCAGGCACATGCGTTTGCGTTGGTCTGTCTGTGTGTGCGCGCGCGC